AAAAGAAACCCCCACCAAAATCCAAGACAGAGAACAAGAAAACGGCAAAGCCCTCCTCCCATACATAAAAGGCACCACAGACAGAATCAGCAAGATCCTCCACAAACACAACATCAAGACAGCATTCTGCACAAACCGAAAAATATCTACCATCCTAAGAAACCCCAAAGATAAAATTGAGTTAGAAAATCAAGGAGTACATGAAATCCCATGCACCGCCTGTCCCACCACATACATTGGACAAACCAACAGAAGAATAAATGCACGCATTGAAGAACACAAGAACTCAGTTAGAAAAGAGGAACCAACTTCTTCCCTGGTCCAACACTTTAAAGAAAGCCAGGACACTTCCAATTTTACGCGGGAGAGAACCCGAATGACCAAAGACCTACATATATATATATTCGGGTCTTTTTCCCCGTGTAAGATTGAGAGTATCTTGGCGACGTTTCAATGAGGTCCCACTCGTCATCTTCAGGCTGGGGTCTTCGGCTTCGTGCTTGTGCAAGCAAAGTGTGATTGCAACATCCTGGGTGTTGCAACATCCTGGGTGGCACAACCACCCAGGATGTTGCAACACAAAACTCAGGATATCACTACACTAGATCTCAGGATGTAATCACACAACCCATTACCCAGGTCGTTATAACACAAAAGACTAATGGGCACACAGCCAGCACTTCAACTACTCAGGATGTTATGAAACAGCCGAACAATCCGCAAACAATAACTCCCACACAGCCAACCAACCCACCTACAGCAACTAAGCCAGCACTCCACACACCCCCACCAATATTTATAGAGAGACAGCTTTGCTCGCACAAGCACGAAGCCGAAGACCCCAGCCTGAAGATGACGAGTGGGACCTCGTCGAAACATCGCCAAGATACTCCCAATCTTACATGGGAAAAGACCCGAATATGCCAGGACCTGCATATATATATATGCAGGTCCTGCAAAGAGGGGAGGAAAGCCTGTGGCTTGGTGGTTAAATCACTGCCTAGTATGTAAACTGCCCAGGTTTGAATCCCATAAAGGGTGTGGCTAACTGAAGAGAGCAGAATGAGCTCGAAATGGCCATCTTAGTCTCCCAATTTAATTCTTAACTCTTTGTCAGAAAAACAATTGGATTTAAATGTTTCGCAGTTGCGACGTGAGCTTGCTTAACGCCCCTAGTTGGGGGGCTGCAAGGCAAAAGATATTGTAAAAAGTAGAACTGCAGTATAGCAGTTAAAAATGTCAAGGTGTAATCAATCAGGCCGGTCTGTCTGAAAAACTTTCTGTGTGTGTATGTATATATACATTATATATATATATACACACACACACATATATATATATATATAATGTAATTATATATATTATATATATATAATGTAATCTTGGCCACAGGAAATTCTCATAGCACCAAACCAAAGCTGATTCTACAGATTAGCCCCTTGTTACTAATGCTAAAAATTTATATGACAAATATGGAAAGAAACTGCATTTTCACAGCAATATTTTAGGAGCATCTATTGACGTCAGGAATGGCCCTTTTTTTTCTTGGAAGAGTTCTTGTACTTTTAAACATATATTTGACCACTATGCATTAAAACTGGGAAATGTTTACCTGGCACATAGATGTACAGATCAGTTTGAATTGCAAGAATGACATAATTGATTAGAAATATGTCTCTAGTTTATAGGGATGTGTCCTCTTCCTGCTATTTTGAATATTGTTTTTTCATTTCCTCTGTTTGTTATTATGTTAGCAAGAAAAGCTGTTAATATGACCATCAAAAAATGAAAGACTTAAGTAACCTACAGTAACTAGTAAATCATACAGGCAGCGTAGACGACTCTGGCTCCAATTTCCTTGCAAGATGTTCCTTAGCCTCTGCATAAAGTAGTCCACATTATTCAGACATCTGTACAATGCAGAGAAATCAGAAGAGAATACATTAGCCAGATAACTATTTGAGAATCATGAGTCACTATACTCTCCCCTAAACTGGAGGGATGCATATCATATATAATGGAATATGCTGTACAGTATTGCCCATATCCATAAACACATGGATGTAGTGAACAGGGCTTCTGGCTCATAGGTAGGTCTCTAGATCCTCCACCCATAAGTTTCCTAACCCTCCCATTGTCCTGAAGAGAACCTGCTTGATGTGCTACCACCATTCACTTTATTCCACTCTCTTTTGATTTAATGTGTACAATCAATTGAATTTTGACTTTGATTCCTTTGACTCTTCTCAGTAGTTAGCCTAATAGGGAGTATGCTAAAGTGTGATTTAGAAGTTGTTAGACTAAGATGTGGAAACTCGCATTCTAGACCAGCGGTTCTCAACCTATGGGTCGTGACCCCATTTGGGGTCGATCGACCATTTCACGGGGGTCGCCAAGCAAGGCTGTCCGCCATTTTTTCCCCTTTTCCGGCGGGTGCCTTACCTCCCTTGAGCTGGGCCAGCTGGTGGTCAGCCTGCTCCGTCTCTGCCGCTTGCCAGCTACGCCTCGGCCGGCGCAGGGGGCGGAACCATGCATGCGCGGCGCTCCCGGGCAGGGAAAGTCCTCGACTTACGACCGGTTGGGTAGTCCTCGACTTACGACCGGTTTAGTCCTCAATTTACGACCAGTTTAGTCCTCGACTTACGACCGGTTTAGTCCTCGATTTACGACCAGTTTAGTCCTCGACGTACGATCGGTTTAGTCCTCGACTTACGACCGGTTGGGGGTTGCGGCATTAAAAAGGTTGAGAACCACTGTTCTAGACCATTCTCAGCAGTGGAAACTCACTGTTTGATTTAAGGACAGTCATTCTCAGCCCTTACAGCATTTTGTTGGGGGAGAAAAATATGCTCTATTTATTACCTCGAGCTCCTGGAGGAAAGACAAAATATAAATCAAACAAATAC